TTGGCTCAGCGTGTTGGCCCACGCTTTGGCGAACGTGACGCGTTATGCCTACGTTTTCAAACTGCGTGCCGAGCTCCGTATCAATACGCTACGTGTTGCGTGTTGCGCATCGGGACAGCTACGCTGCTGCAGTCAGTGTCGTTTAACCGACCCCCATCCCTATCCCCATCCCCATCCCCATCCAGACCCTTATCATCTCAGCACCCCAGTTGGAGATATCTCCGTCGAAGCCCGAAGGAAGCTGCCCATCCGGGGGGGCAAATCGGCCAGTGGGGCCTAGGCCACGCCACGCCGGTGGGGAGAGGGGTCGGTTAAACGATGCTCAGGTTCTGCTGCTGCTGCTGCTGCTGCTGCAGGGCCGTCGGATTCTGGCGCTGTGTGTGTGTGTGTGTGTGCCCTCTCTCACCTACCTCCTCTCCTCATCTGCTGCCCTGTCGGCCCAGGTGTTGACGTGATAGTACATTGGCCGTCTGAGAGGGGAAAGCATCCATCGTCTCCATCATACGGATCACTGGCATGGTTGGCTCTCTGATCCTTGCCTCCGATTCACAGGTGCTGCGAGAATGCCGCGGCCGGACTGGGCGGATTCGGTGGGATGTTCTGCTCAGGAGCAACGCTCGGGTGTGATATGTTCATGGGGGTGACGCATCGAACTCCAATCGCCCCTTGATCCCCGATTGGCCTGATGCCCCAATCCGCCCGCCCAGGGAAGTGCGATTTAGCTATCGGGGTACCTATCACCGATCTGTCGGCGATGTATCGCGGACAGATCGCTTGATGTTTCCTCCCGCGGTGAGGTCTGGGATTTTGAGGTCACCGCACGGTCTGTCACCACGGTTGTGGGACGCACAGTAATTGGGCCACGACGTGGGATCTCGGGGGCGGCTGCTGCTCTTGTTGCGAGAAGGCGAGGAGAAGAGCGATGAGGTTCCCAGCGCTGGATCGGCCAGGAGTGCCGGTATTGCTATCAAAAGCGACGGCGAGAACGGCGGAGTAAAGATCCGTGGAGGCAGAAATATTGGCGGATGAATGCTAGTGCGTGAATCTCAACGGCACCCAGTCACGCAGACAGAACAGCTCTGACAGAGCTCCAGATGAGCGAGAGAACAAAACGGGGTCGTCGTCACCGACATTGGTGCGCAAGTTGCCCGCGTGAGGCCGCGCGTGAGCGCCTCCTCTGCACGCGATGCGCCACGCTGGCGACCCGCGTCAGCCACCGCGCAAGGTCGCCATGCCATCTCGCGCAGGGCCCGCTTCCTTTCGCTTGGCATCGCTCGGACGTGTGCATGTTTCCTTCGGCGAGGACCATCGAGGAGCATCCTTGATCATCTGGCGAAAAAGCCACGCACGAAACCGAAAAAACACAGGGAATGGACGTCCGAGCGATGGCCAGTTCGTCGCCCAGATGGCGCGGAGGCTGAGCCTCACCATCGGATGAGCAGGAAGAGGTCGTGGGGCGGCGATGGCTGCCCGTGCCGCCCCCCCTTCCCCCTCCTCCTCGACGTGTGGCAAAGGAATGCCCTTCTGTTGTTGGCTGCGCGACGATTCGCACGTGCCAAGACTTCTTTGTTGCGAGCGGGGGCGGATCGACTGGGCTTGCCCTCGCCATCATCCCCCGTGTGCAGGCTAGTTACACGGTTGGACCCTCCCCAAGCAGAGGGTGCCTCGCTTTCCCCAGCCAGGTCCCGCGATAGCCCCGAAGGGCCGTCCATTGACGGCCCGCCCGCTCATGGGCCTAGAATCCCGGCCAGTGATCCCTCCACATCCTCCCAATCTTTCTCGTCCCCTTCCTCGTGCAGCCGCCGTTGTTCTTACACGGAGTGCCCGCTTGCAAGAGAGGCGGGGATCACCCTGACGTCCGCGACCCAAGGGCGAATCCTTCAACCACTGTCAGCAGATACCAGGTGTTCCCCGAGCGACTGCCAGCTGCCCGCCATGGATTGCCTACCGAGTGGTTCCGGCGCGGCTGCTTTCGATGACGCGGGTCGGGGGCGGAAAAGAGGGGGGTGATGATTGGGGGGGGGGGCTTTCATGGCGCGGGCCATGATTTTCCCTCAGATTTCATGGCGCCTCATCTTATTTCATTACGTCCCAGGCCCCCCCGCTGGGCCGCGCACATGCCGCCGGTCATGATTTGCACCCCCCCCTCTTGGACACCCCCCTCTTGGCCGCTCCCGAGTGGGCGCAGTTTCTGTTGGCCGCGCGAGCGCCAGACTGCGAAAAGCGTTCCCCAATCCGTCTTCCTTTGTAGACGTGTCAGTACACCTTAGGCCATGCTTAAGAAAACCTAAGTTTTCGGCCAGAGGCTCGATTATTCTTAATGTTTCAATGTAAATCCTAAGATTGTAATAGAAATGTTGGGTTTTAGTTCAAGTTCTGAGACGATGAATTTCTTAACCCATGATTTCTTGAGCATTTCGCAGGGTGTAGGGTGGGCCTGGTGCTCCGCTGAGGAGTCCTCGTCGTGGTCTCCTCCACCTCGCAGGACGCAACACGAGCGTCTGGCCCTCGAGCCTGCTCTTCGGCAGCTCCTCTCAGACCTTTGGCTGCTCGAAAGCATCGGCCAGCTGTGTTCGCTCTACGCGCGGCGGCCGCTTCCGGGCGCCCACCGAAACCGCTCACGGAGACTGAAGTCAGTTCTGGGGACGGGTCCAGGAAGGCAGGGCGCCACGATTCTCGAGACTGGATCGCTGGAGTTCTGGCCCTCCCTCGTCAGGCCTTGCAAGGGCCCTCATTCACACCCTCGTTGCAATGTGGCCCAGGTGGTTCTTGCTCGGACGGGGCTAGGCGGATAATGAATCCGTTCCAGAGCGTTCCAGAACGCTCTCAGAGCGTTCCGGAACGCGCTGAGAAGGCCGCGGCGCCTGAGACATCTTCCAAAGCCGCCGGATCTCAGAGATGATTCTCGATTCATCCTTACCCGATTTTATTATCGTCCTGGCCTCGTTTTAGGCTCTTACGCCACCGCGCACTCTGGTCCACCAGAAGCTCCGCGTTGGGCGTAGGGCGTGGCCGACGGTTCGGGCGAGTCTCCCTCGGGTATCTCTGCAGACGCCGACGGCACCCCGGCGGCCTTGGGAAGCACTCGCGCAGAGGTTGCAAAAGGCCGTGGGGCACCAAATGGTACACCACCACCACCACCACCACCACCACCACCACCACCACCACCACCACCACCACCACCACCACCACCACCACCACCACCACCACCACCAGCACCACCACCACCACAGCACCACCCACCACACCACCACCACCACCACCACCACCACCACCACCACCACCACCACCACCACCACCACCACCACCACCACCACCACCACCACCACCACCACCACCACACCACCACCCACCACCACCACCACCACCACCACCACCACCCCACCACCACCACCACCACCACCACCACCACCACCACCACCACCACACCACCACCACCACCACCACCACCACCACCACCACCACCACCACCACACCACCACCACCACCACCACCACCACCCACACCACCACCACCACCACCACCACCACCACCACCACCACCACCACCACCACCACCACCACCACCACCACCACCACCACCACCACCACCTCCACCTCCCTCACCTTCCTCTCCCAGGAAAGAGAAGGGGAAGAGGAGGGAGACGAGGGAGGAGGAACGGAGGTGGTGATGGTGGTGGTGGTGGTGGTGGCGGTGGTGGTGGTGGTGGGTTGATGTGGTGGTGGTGGTGGGGTGGTGGTGTATCTTCTTGGAGCCCTCGATGGGGTAGTGCACGGGGGCCCCGCCCGCTGCCCACCCCCCCTTGCCCAGCGGCCTCGTCGGCCGCTTCTCGCGCGCAGCACAGGTGCCCCGAGTCGCTCGGGTAGGAGATCGACAGCACAATCGATTTACCCTAGATTCTGAAGTGTCGCTGAATCGATATATACATATATCGGCGCACCGGGTCCGGGGGGCCGGGGCCGGGACCCCGACCGCAAATGTGCACCCCGGGGGGCCCGGAGGCTCGTCGGGGCTTGCCGGAGGCCTCCCCAGTCAGACAAGACGGCCCAAGAAGCGCCCAAGACGGCCCAAGAAACTTCCAAGAGGCCTCCAAGAGGGCTCCGAGATGCTGAAGATGGCCTCCAGACGTCCAAGGACGCCCCCAAGAGGCCCCAAGAAGCCTCCAACATGCGTCCCAAGAGGGCCCCTAGACGCAAAAATTGGCCCATTCCCTTCGTAAAACGTACATTTTCAACAAAGTTGTCTTTTGGGCTTTCCGACGTTACAGGACGGCCCAAGAGGCGCCCAAGACCGCCCCAAGACGGCCCAAGAAGCTTCCCAGAGGGCCCCAGGACAGCCCAAGAGGGCCCCAAGACGGCCCAAGAGGCGCCCAAGATGGCCCAAGAGGGCCCCAAGACGGGCCCAAGAGGGGGCCCAGAGGGGGACCACGAACCGCAAGCTCGAGCCTTCCGCCCCAAGAGGCCGCCAGGAGGCCCCCAGGAGGCCCCTCAAGAGGCCCCGGGAGACCCCAGACGTCCAAGGACGCCCCCAAGAGGCTCCAAGAAGCCTCCAACATGTGTCCCAAGAGGGCCCCTAGACGCAAGAATTGGCCCATTCCCTTCGTAAAACGTACATTTTTAACAAAGTCGCCTTTTGGGCTTTCCGACGTTACAGGACGGCCCAAGAGGCGCCCAAGACCGCCCCAAGACGGCCCAAGAAGCTTCCCAGAGGGCCCCAGGACAGCCCAAGAGGGCCCCAAGACGGCCCAAGAGGCGCCCAAGATGGCCCAAGAGGGCCCCAAGACGGGCCCAAGAGGGGGCCCAGAGGGGGACCACGAACCGCAAGCTCGAGCCTTCCGCCCCAAGAGGCCGCCAGGAGGCCCCCAGGAGGCCCCTCAAGAGGCCCCAGGAGACCCCAGACGTCCAAGGACGCCCCCAAGAGGCCCCAAGAAGCCTCCAACATGCGTCCCAAGAGGGCCCCTAGACGCAAAAATTGGCCCATTCCCTTCGTAAAACGTACATTTTCAACAAAGTTGTCTTTTGGGCTTTCCGACGTTACAGGACGGCCCAAGAGGCGCCCAAGACCGCCCCAAGACGGCCCAAGAAGCTTCCAAGAGGGCCCCAGGACAGCCCAAGAGGGCCCCAAGACGGCCCAAGAGGCGCCCAAGATGGCCCAAGAGGGCCCCAAGACGGGCCCAAGAGGGGGCCCAGAGGGGGACCACGAACCGCAAGCTCGAGCCTTCCGCCCCAAGAGGCCGCCAGGAGGCCCCCAGGAGGCCCCTCAAGAGGCCCCAGGAGACCCCAGACGTCCAAGGACGCCCCCAAGACGCTTCGCGTCACCAATTTCTTCTCGCAGCGATTCCTGGGTCTGTGACTCGACAGAACCTAAGCGCGCGCGAAGCGCGCGCGTGGTTCTAGTATATATATATATGTATACATATATACATAGGGTGCTCGTCGATCTACGAAAGTTCTACGTATTTTCCGTACGGTTCACGAAGAATCAGATGTGGGGTAAACGCAGTTTTGGGACAAGCCAATTTTGCAGTCGATCCCCTGCTCGAGTCGTGTGCACTGTCGCGTTCAATGTCGGCAATCCTGGTACCCGCCCCCGCCTGGCCGGCTGTGCTCCCAGCTTGAGCCTCAGGTATTCAGTGCCGCGTACCTGTTGGGGCTCGGACTTTGCGTCGGGGAGCTCGTCGGGGCTCTCCGTTCCCTCCCTCCACGCACGGCTGTCGCATACCTGCTTGGGCCCGGACTTCTCGTCGGGGAGCTCGTTGGGGCTTCCTGTACCCTCCCTCCACATGGCCTCGGGTACCTGGGTTCATAAAGGGGGCAGTGATATGGTGAAGGCACGACGCCGCACGTTCTTACCATTGGCAAGCGTGAGCCAGCAATTCGATATTTTTGTGATCCGAGAGGGAACCATCTAGCTGCCTGTGGCAACTCCTGCCATCGTGCAAGCACAGCAGTGCAGACGGGATGATTCTGAAAGTAAGATTCGAGTTGGTTCAGCTTCCTGTCGGTTTCGCGCTGGTGTTTGTATACTCCTTGTCCTCAGGTTTGTCGTCGTCGTCCTTCCCCTTCCCATTTTTTCTTCATCCCATTTCTTGCCCTACTTCCTCTCCCCTCCCCTCCTCCATCTTGAGCACATCTTGGAGTTTTACTGGGCGATTCTGTCTAGGGTTGAGGTTGCGGCCAAGACCCATCCAGTTCAGTGTTCTGTCTGAATTCGTTTGAATTTTGAGCGCCCTCTTCTTGGCTGCAGACTCTTGTCGACAGCCTCTTTCTTATCATCATTTCTAGTTTCCTCTATCAGGGTCCATTTCGATCCGATCGATCCTTGTCGACTGCTATGCTCTAGCGATCTAGTGCGGCTCGATGCATACATGGCGCTGCTGTGCATCCGGGTGCAGCCGATGCGACTCGATCGCGACTCCGTGCCGCTGCAGCCCGATCCGGCGCACATTCTGATTCGATTCGATTCTCCGATTCGGCGGCGAAATCCGGACCCTACCCTCTCCGATCAACGAATCAGGCAACTCGATGGGCGGCGGGGGCAGGATTCGGAATTCGTCGAACACGTGTCGAAATCCGACCTCCATCCCCGCCCCCATCGATTCAGGAGAGTCGATGGTTGGCGGTGGGTTTGGGTGTCGCCACCTACCGATTCGATGCTGACTCGTCCTGTCTCCCCCTTCTCTCGGGCCGGACGAAAGGGGGGGATTGGGAAAGGGGGGGGTACGAAATCTGCTACATGCAGCTGGTTTTGGCCCCACGGAGGGGCTCATTCCGCGATACATGGGCGCCTTTTGGCGCCGGGAGGCGCCGGGAAAATCAGCTACGTGAGCTGATTCTCAAACCCCCCCCTTTGCTATCCCCCCCTTTCGCCCGACCCGATTCTCCGAAGAGCCGAGCTGTCGCGGGCCTCAGAGCTTTCACGTCCCTCTCCCCTACACCTTAGGCGATGCTTAAGAAAACTTAAGTTTTCGGCCAGAGTCTCGATTATTCTTAACGTTTCGATGTAAATCTTTCGATGTTAATAGAAATGTTCGGCTTTTATTCAAGTTCTGAGACTATGAATTTCTTAACCCATGATTTCTTAAGCACTTCGTAGGGTTTACGTCGCCAGGCCGCGAGAGAGCGCTGCCCCCCTCTTCCCAAGCTCCGAGCTGGCGCAGGAGGCAGGGAGGGAGGCGGAGGAGAGAAGAGCAACAGGTGGGAGGGAGGGGTGGGATAAAGGAAGGGAGGGAGGAGGAGGATGAGGAGGAGGAGGAGGAGGGAGGGGGACGAGGAGGACGAGGGGGAGGACGAGGAGGAGCAGGAGCGAGGAGGAGGAGGAGGAGGAGGAGGAGAGGAGGAGAGGAGGAGGAGGAGGAGGAGGAGGAGGAGGAGGAGGGAGGATGAGGAGGAGGAGGAGGAGGAGGATGAGGAGGAGGAGGAGGAGGAGGAGGAGGAGGAGGAGGAGGGAGGAGGGAGAGGGAGGGAGGGAGGGAGGGACAGGGAGAAGGGAGGGAGGAGG